TCTGTTCGAAATATTTTTTGCTGCGATAAATACCTAGCGAGCTACTTTCGAGATGCGCGTAGAAACGCACACACTAGGTCTCCATGTAACATCCATTGCTGATGTTCGACTTTAATCAAAAATATGTTAGCAAATTTCGGAAAAATTCGTCATCAAATTTAATTAAAATTCCTTCAGCGTTCCTCCAAGCAGTTCAACAATGCGAACTAATTAGCGCGCTTTAACTCTTCTTTGCGAATGTGCATAAAATATTTGCATGTCACCACAAGTGCCTATTGTATAGGGGCATTCATTAAAATTTTGGTTATTCTGTTTCAGTGGTTTTCGTCAGTAACTCAAACCACAAGAATGAGTTGCCTGTTAAAACAAGCCACAATCACGTTCCCTCTTCATATTCCACGCTTATTACACGCTCGATGAATAAGACTACACTATGTGAATAAACGACATTCGATAACAAAGAAATGTAACTGAACTCGAATACCAATGTAACTCGACTACATACAAAAACAATGGTTCCAACACTCTTTCAAATTGATTAAAAAAAAATAACATTAAAACCAAGAATTAATTACGTCGTTAATTGGCGTGCAGGTAACCTCTTACTGATTGCTCTGGGGCCATCAGGATAGAATAGGTATACTTCCTCCTTTTCTTCAATGTTTTTATTTGAAAAATCCGTGTGGGGGGAGGGATGTGATGATTGGTTTGTCCCACCCTCCAAGCCGCCCATATAACTGCTTTTCACGGTGAATGCGTCGTTTCCAGTTTTCAAGCTTCCATTTGCTCCCAGAAATATCCTGTTATCATGTGTCTGTAAATCACAGAATCTTTATGTTTCAAGAAATTTTCGCTCATCATTTATATACTTCAGAGCAGTCTGAATGTCTTGTATTATGGAACCAGGTTCAATGTAATTCTTTTATCACACTGTTGTTGTGAAAACTAACACTAAGCACTCATTCTTTTCCTGGTAGACATGCTAAAAACTGAAATCTGGTAATGATATTCCCAGCTATTCAGTAACACACACACATACATTGAAAGATGGGCATACTTCTGAGGATGATGATGCATACTAGGTTCATCTATCAATATTTCTTTACTAAGAACATTCATTCACTCTTGCTCTTATGTCTTTAAGAATGCTTAGTTGGGAAGTAACCACAGAGGGTGTCATGTAATTTTACTAGGATATGATAATGAGAAAGAGGACACGCAGTGACATAATTGGTTGAGGCACTATGGTACAAGCCGGAAGGTCACAGGATCGAATCCCGATAAGGTGGATTTTTTCAATTTACCTTATCCTTCCAGCTGCACTATAGCCCTTGGGTCAACTCAGCCTCTAACAGAAATGAGTACCAGGAATATTCCTGGGGGTAAAGGGCGACTGGCACGTAGTTCTGACAACCTTGCCGCCATCTATGAGCCGATTGTTTAGTACATGTGGGAGCCCCAGTATCTCACAACCTGTTACAGGGATACTCTTTACCTTTACCTTTTACAAGAATGAGAAATTTCACTCTCCATAACAAACTCCTTGGCTTTTCACTATTCCCCACCCACCACCTCCTCTACATCTGGTGCTAAGTGGCTTTCCTCTATTCTCCAAAACTGTCAAGGAGGCATCATATATTGTGACACTAGAATTAAATATCATCCCACAAGGAGAATATCAAAGGCATTTCAATAAATGACAGGACCACAGGAATTATGCTTATCGATACAGTGCTGCCTCCTTAACTTGCGTTAGACCTCAAAAGTATATCGACTTGTAACATATATTGTAATTCTATATACTTCACTTACCGCCATCGCTAATGTAAGTTAGATATTAAAATAATTGTTATTTTTTATTTAATTGACATCAATATCTCTCTAAACATAAAAATTACACAAGCAGCAGTTACATTGTTTTCTAGTTTCTTTCTAATACTCTACAATGTTCATCTCTTGTTGCTGTGCTGTTTCACGTACATTTTCCAGGAAACTCACTGCACATGCAACTTACAGTGTCAAGAAGTCCCAATGCAAGTACAGTACTATACCCCCAGTATTCAAATTACTGGCAGGCAGCATGGCTGCCCTCTGAAACATATCACTGAACAAGTCAGTATTTATAACTAATGAATTAAATATAACACCAATCAAACACAATATCGCCCCTCCAAATTCATCGCAGAGGTGGTGACTGAGGGTCCCAAATTGCACCTGAATAAAGATGACAATAAACTAAGATCTTCAGGGATCTAACACCATGCAGTCTGGTACAATAAAATGTCATTTCAGACAATATGCTATCTTAATTTCCAGGTATTCTTCTACCCTGAAGACGGAATCAGTATGTCCCTCCAAAACACTGGTACCTTGTACCAGATTACATTCTGTGATCCACGAATTTATTAATTCTATTTCGAAGAATGAAGAATTTCCACAGCAATGGAGGGACTCTAATATTGCACTTATTTATGAAAAGGGTGTTACTACTGGCCATGGTATTTAGGCATGCAATTGTTACTGACTACATATAAAATTTTATCCAATATTCCTCTCCCATGCTTACCTCCATTTGCAGATGAAATTAATGGGGTTCATCAAACAGGACAGTTTTTTTGCCATATAGAACAGACTTCAGGACAGTATATCAGCCATATATAATGGAAGCATAGAAATCAGATCAGAAGGAAGTACTCTACATTGAAACTAGCAAGAACATTTAAAATGTGCTTAAACAAGACCACCAACAAAGACTATATAGGAAACATCTGACTTATTCCCTAACGACAGTGATCTAATAGCAGATGCCTTATTGTCACCATTTTTCAACTTTGCTTTATAACACACCATTAAGAAGGCACAAGTAAATGAAGGACCGACAATGCTCTATGATTGTCACAGAGCAAAAATAAAAATTAAGAAAAAAAAAAAACAAACAAACTCCCTGATTTTGGTTAGAAATTTTGTAAGGGAAGGGAGGACCTAGTCATAGATGGAAGGAAAATATTAGAATCAATCTTAAAGGAATAAGCAGAGAGGGTGTCAACTGAATTCATGTGTCTCAGGACAGGACCAGAGGCCAGCTCTCACAAATAAGATAATAAACATTAGGGTTTAAATGAGTGAGCTCTCACAAACAAGATGATAAACATTAGGGTTCAATGACTGACTGGGAATTTCTTCAGCAGCAGAAAAATTCTTACCAATTTAACTGCTGATCATCTCATAAAATACAGATCCTAATGTTATATTTTAGCGTCCTGTTGCACTGATTTAAGTCCATGATTTATTTAATCTGTCTTGCAGTGCATACACTCATTTATCTCCTTCTCTCCCTTGCACTACATGTTTCGGCATAATAATGCCATCTTCAGGTGCTTACTTATCCACGTCAAACCAGTTCATTGCATGCCATGTTCACACATTAAAATAACTAAAATATGTATCTATCATATACATTGTCAAACGTTAAAAATATTAAAATTGTTCAGGATACCACATCGCTNGTTTTTATAGTGTAGATTGTATTTTAGCCCTTTGCTTAAGAGCTGAATTTCGTCCTGTGTGAAGTGAGTGTTCGTACAATTTTTTACGCGTGTATAATTTGTGTTGTTATGTTTGTTTGTTGTTGTTTGGGTTTCTTCCATGCTTTTCAGTTTTTGTTGTTGCTTTAAATATATAGTTTTCATTTCGTGTTGTAGTTTTTGGTTTATTTCATCTTCTAGAATATTCCACATTTTTTGCCATTTTTTAATATTTTTAACGTTTGACAATGTATATGATAGATACATATTTTAGTTATTTTAATGTGTGAACATGGCATGCAATGAACTGGTTTGACGTGGATAAGCAAGCACCTGAAGATGGCATTATTATGCCGAAACATGTAGTGCGAGGGAGAGAAGGAGATAAATGAGTGTATGCACTGCAAGACGGATTAAATAAATCATGGAAATACAGATCCTATTTCATTTAAGATCTACAAGTATTCCCCACTTTTAATCTGCTTTTATTTCATCATGAAAGAAAATTCTGTTACTGTTACTCCCATTTTAAATTTATCATTTTTAACGTTATCTTGATTTTCTCTTGCACTGTGATGATGGGACATGTATACATATTTAGTTAATTCTGTATTTAGTTTTAGACCAACTTCCTTACTAGTGGTTAATACAGCTCCTGTTTTTTTTTCTTTGTAGCATTTATGCTTCCACCCACATCATGACAGCATAACTGCTGCATCATATGCAGAATGATTGCTGTATTTACAGGCAGTCCAGATGCAGAATAGAGGCAACCCCATCACTGGTCTAGCCCTGCATATGACTCATGTCCATCCAAGGACTAACAAAGAGACAAAAAGATCTTAAGAAATGACATATAGACAGGTCTAATTACAATAGTGGTAATGAAAAGGGTACAAAGAGATAAAATTTGCAATTTAGAATATTCTAGGTGTCAATCATAAAGTAAAACTGGTATTGGAAGTGTAAAATTTGAAAAAATATTCAATAACTCCAGCAAAACTGGAAAGAGGTAACCTTCCAAAACAATTCTCTTGCCAAAATTCAGCACGATCAAAGTGATAATGAAGATACCAATATCATATTGGGATTCATAGGAACAAGCCTTAACAACATGACTCTACAAAGTTTATAATGATGATGATGATGAATGAAGGAAGAAATTAACATTATCAGAAGGCATCTTCTGAACCTTCCTAATGGCATTTCCCAACACAAAGTTGAAAAGGAACAGCGATAAAGTATCTCTTCCAGATGGTTCTGAATACAAAATACATCAGATGTTTAAAAGTGGGAGTTATACAGGACCAAAATTAAACTTCTAGTACTCCAAATTTAACAGAGAATAATGTAGTTCTTTCTGAGATGAGACATGCAGGCACTCCCACTGTGTTTTCACTTTATGCATCTTGTGGAAAGAACACAGAGCATCACAAACAAAGTATTTACTGTTTTTGTATGGTAATTAAATACATCTTTATTGATGTTTGTATTTATTATTCCAATAATATGTACCAACTGAAATTGTTTTTAAATTCCACATTCACTTCCCCTCACACTCTTTTCATCACATCACTGCTGTTCTGCTTAGATCAGAAAAGATCTGTCGAACTTGGCTAATTTTACATTTTGACCAAGTGGTCCAGGCTGCATCATCAGGGAAACAGAAAACTGAATTACATACTGTATAATTAATTGATAATACATTCAATAATTATATAAATTATTTACATAATTTAAAATAATACGTTTAACCCTACTAATAACAAATGCAGAGAAACAAAAATATTCCTGAAAATTATTTCATTAATCCTGTAACTGTCTATGCCTGTTAAAATTAAGTGATAATGTTCTCAAAGGTTTACATTAAAGTAAATATAAATTTGATGTAAAATTCAAGGTATTTCACACATAATACATAAAATAATGGTATCTGATTTTCAGGTAACTAAATTAAGTAATAATATTGTTATTACTTCTTGGCATATGAACTAAGAAGAAGTCTGCACTGCCTCTGGCCAATCTCAAATATGAGACCTTTGTCAAAGAAGTCTTTTCTTCTTAGATCTTGACCGCCATATCCAAATATGGTATCTCTCAAAATAACAATTTCATTTATAGCAACTGGACACCATAAAAAAGTTAAATAAAGTTTATGCCTCAACAAATACTTCCCAGGTCCAAAAAACAGACCATACGGTGACTGTAACAAAAACTGTAACTGATATATTACAAATTAAAAGCACAATTTACTACAGCACTACAGGAATGTATGCAAAGTTGGAAAGTAGTAGCTTGAATTTGTAAGTACCTTATATTCTAGGGCAAGTAATGTGATTATTAAGTTCCTATATATTCCCTGTTCAAATTAAAAACATGGTGACTGAACATTTCCTCTGTTTTCCTAATTCTGGTGCAAGAAACACAAGCCTGTTTTGTCTGCATCCCTGCTGCCACCACCACTGTTAAAAATTTAACAAATATGTGTACCAGTACTGAAACTGTTACATCACAAAACTGAGCAGAATACAAGGGCATATAATACACATGACTGAATCAGAGCAATCTTGTAAATAGAAGTCACAGTTTCTGTTCACGCATGATGACTAGAGTAGTTGGCCAGCAAATGAAGGCATGAGAACCAGAATACAAAGTAAATACATAATACATGAAACTACACATGTAGTCATATATGTGAACCCCATAAATTCTGTCTTTTCAACAGTAATATAAAAAAAAACTGTAGTATTATTCAAATGTGTAACTAAGCATGGGGCTTCTAATAATGTTGGAATTTCTTTTACAGAACTGAGTTAGCCTCATTCTATCAACCAACCAATGCACTCTACTTCACAAGTATTCAACATTTCAATAATAATATTTTTATGACACCTTACATTTTAAGAAAATTTCTATTTTCATTGGACCTTTTTTCCACTGCAATTGCTTCCAACTTTATACTCTTTCAGATTTCTGGGATCAACAATATCATATATATATATAGTTCTATAACTAACTCAAAGGTACTGTTTCCTGTACAGTTGTCCCAAAACATGTATCCCAATTCAGCACAAACCACACAATTCTAAAACTTAAACAGAAAATATATGCATCTGTTACAGATCTCTACATATGCACTCATAGAAACATGAAAGTAAGTCTTTCATTTTACTGCCAAATAAGATGTCAGTGCAAAGTTTTATTTTTCATACAGTATAAGCTATCATCATAATAATGTTGCAGGTCACTGCCTTGCAATTCTCACACGTTACCTACTAATAAAAAATAAAGCTTTTGTTTTCTTGTTCTCAATGCGCTCATACTAACACTCACTCTTGGTAGCTTGAAACTGGAATGGAACAATTCAAGATCTATTGTCTTAGTGGAGGTTGCAACATGAAGTGCTCCTGTATCTGCAAGTGCTGAAGTGCAAAAATCAAAGTTGTGTGAAAACAACCGCCATCAACACATACCAGATCAAGAGGAACCAGGTAAGAAGCTGCCATGAAGCTGATCTGACTAGCTCATGCTCACAAGACTGCATCACTTGTGTGCATTTGCCACTCCAACTAAACTTAATGACTGATATATATATACACACACATTCCTCTATTTTATTAAAAAAACTTTACTTCCTAAATCATCTTTCCATAAGATACAGTGTAAAATTTCTTCCCACTGTAGTTGTCCAAATGTTTGGCTTATGACAACAGAATTCCAACAGATGTTTGCATAATGTCTACCTGGGTAAGACTAGGAGAAGAAACCAGAACGGGAAGCCCTCATATTACCTTCATGGTCTAATCAAATTATATACTTCCTGCTGCTTGTTATGTAAGTGGTAATTAATATTTGAAATTTATGACTAACCATTAAAATTACCCGAAGACAGAAAATATTATAAAGATCTAGAAAAAGAAATATAATCAAGGCCTAAAAAATAAAACATATAACAGTAACAGGATTAATAAATTAAGGCCTAAAAATAAAACATACAATAGTATCAGGATTAATAAATGAATTCTCACACTGTCAACTCTTTTATTTTACAGTAAAGTCACCTTTGTGCAGTCAGCCCGAGTACTGTGATTCTATAACACAACAGGATGCAAAGAATAAAGATAAAAAAATGAGGATCATCTAAGTAATCAAAACTTCAGCTTTTTTATACTGAAAACAATCTATATATTTTGGCTTTTATAATTTGTTACTAACAATGCAGTACTAGAGAAGAAATGTCAAGTGCCAAACTGTCACCCAACACACATACAAAAGGTATTTCAAAGAGCAAAAGAAAGACTTCTAACAAAAAATCATTCCAAAACCAAGCTTGAGAGCATTCAGCTCATACATGGAGACCCATGAGGCCAATGTTGAGAAAATTATCTGCTGAAACTAATGAATAAACCAAGTTAAGTGTCTTGATTAGATTTAATACATATAAAACTCTGACAATGGGCCAATTTCAGATCACAGACTGTCTGAAGCCATGTCAGAATGCACAATTCTAGCCCTGTTTTACTGAAAGATATAAATTTTTAATTCACACAGCTGTGAAGTATCACAGTGTACTCCTCCATTCACATTAACTATGGTTGAACTAACTATACCAACCTACTATAAGTACTGTACTACACAAAACAAGGAACAAGTCTGGTAGAATAGACCCCAAATGAACGCTTCCAAATAGTTGATTTGTGTTCGAAAATAAATCTGAAGACAAATGGTGCAGATCGAAACATTAAGAAGCACTGAAACTGTTTCTGAATGTTATCCATTTCAGCCTTGTATAAATCCAAATCCTGTACAATCATTGCCCTGTAAAGAACATTGATTAGACTTCAGCAAAAGCAAGGGGACAAGTAAGGACTAAGGAGCAACACACATTATGTGGGGATATCATACTCTCCTGAGGTCAATTATTCTATACTGAAAATAACGAAAGGTAGTACGTAAACTGCCAAGCTTCCCATTCTGATTATCACCTCCCTTCTCCAAGCCATGGTATGAAGCACAACAGCAAAACACAATGCACACATTCACACTTCACACACACATAGATACATTAGAAGAGATTGATGATGATAGCACAGCACACAGTGTGGTGATCATGGCACTAAACTAGTTCGATGATTCATCGCAGCAGCATGCACTAACGCTACCTACTGCCTAGAGAACAGCATCAAAATTCCATCATAACATAATAATACTATTTTTAGAAATACAGCACTTGGAAATGTAATGGTGTGAAGATGTTTCCATATCATATAATTATTTTTAAAATTATTTAGTTTCTTAAATTATTCTTTCTCATTTTGCCTAGATAGAATACAATATATTTCTGCATTTGTATATCATATGTACAATATCTAGCTTTCATATAACATGAAAGAAATGATCGTCTATGTGTAAAATTGATTTTAAACATTAATAATAAACTCTACTTCTGTACAGATATAATAGAAGTTATAATTCACTTGTATGGCAAGGTTCAAAAAGTATATATATATATATAGATCTTTTTCACTTTCCCTTTTCTCTTTGTTTTCCCACTGCAGCAGCAGGGCCATGTTCATCTATGTAAGGACTAAAAACAAATGGGAGTTGGTGGAGACTGCAACACTGGCCAAGACTTACACCCACTGCAAGTACAGAACATATGAGACCACTCCCATCCATATGCTGCACGTTCTGACTAACATATCACACTGCACTAAGCAGATCAGCAAAAACAGCAGGAGACGATCCTGAACACAAGTGCTACATATGAGCTAGCTAACGGTAATGTCGAAACGAGTAGAGAGCAGTCAGAGATTTGTCCCTCAGAATGAAGTCAGAACTCCATTAGGCGTGGGAACAACCACAGCAGTATGTGTGGGATGCGGCTGTAGAGGCGGCGGCGGAGGATGGTGTTGGAGATGATGTGTAGTTGGAACCACAACTCCATGTCCTGCCACAGCAGGATTCTGGTGATGTCCCTGTGGAGGTGGCTGTGGCTGAGCTGCACCTGCACCCCCTCCTTCAGCCACATGTTTACGCAGGTGACGAAGCATGTTGCCCTTCTCAACAAAGGTTTTTCCACAGTCTGGGCAGGCATGTGGGCGGTCTCCTGAATGTGAGCGCCGATGTGAAACAAGATGTCCCTTACACATGAAGTCCTTTGGACAGAGGTCACAACGAAATGGTCGTTCAGCTGCTGCCCCTTTGTTGTGAGAACGCTGGTGGAAAAGCAGATTACCCTTGAGTGGGAATGCCTTGCCACACTCCGAGCAACTAAATGGACGTTCACCAGTATGACATCGCATGTGATTGATCAGGTGCTCTTTGCGGGTGAATGGTTTCGAGCAAACATTGCAGCAATGGGGAGTCTCTCCTGTATGCTGGCGCAGGTGATTAGTCAAATGTTCTTTGCGAGTAAATGTTTTGCTGCAGAACTCACAGCGGTGTGGAGAATCACCTGTGTGGATGCGCACATGATTCGTCAAGTGCTCCTTGCGTGTAAAAGATTTGGAACAGAAATGGCATCTGTGTGGAGACTCGCCTGTATGTTGTCGTACATGATTGGTCAAATGCTCCTTTCGGGTGAAGGATTTGGTGCAGTACTGGCACTTATGGGGGGATTCGCCTGTGTGCTGACGCACATGATTCACCAGATGGTCCTTTCGAGTGAATGCTTTGGGGCAATACTGACAGCGGAATGGTGTCTCACCTGTATGCTGTCGTACATGATTAATAAGATGCTCCTTGCGAGTGAATGACTTGGAGCAAAAACCACAACGGTGAGGGGACTCTCCTGTATGCTGGCGCACATGGTTGAGAAGGTGTTCCTTACGAGTAAATGTCTTAGAGCAAAAGTCACAACGGTGAGGTGTTTCTCCTGTATGCCACATGATGTGATTTGTGAAGTGCTCCTTACGAGTAAAACTCTTTCCACATATTTCACAGCGGAAAGGTGTATCATTGGTGTGTGAGCGCATGTGGTTTGCAAGATGCTCCTTACGTGTATACTTCTTACCACATACCTGTAAACAATCAAAGTTCACAATTGGATGGAATGTCACACACAAAATATCATTTAAATATACCATACATTACAACAACTCTATAATCTGTGTGATCCTCTGACACCTGTTAAACATCTTGCCAACCCTGCACAGAAAAGTCAGTACAAGAGACATTTACTTATTCATACGAAAATAATGCTAAAATCTTACTTTATATTAGGCACTAATATGGGAACACCACTTCTTAAAATACTATATTTTTGTTGTTTAAGAAATTTAACATTTTCTTGACTGTCAATGGTAATCAGGATTTGATTACCTCTGAACCATGTATCTCTACAGCAACTGTTGCTAGTATGTTTAATCACTTTCTTTCAAACTACATGCTACACGATTTATGCATGATGAATGTTACTAGATGTGACATAACAAGAGCAAGTCCTTTACTCAAAAAGTGAACTCAAATAAATACAACAAAATCCCAATCTCTAGAAAGGTTTCTGCTGGATATAACATGGTGTCTAGGTTAAATTTTCCCATTCAACATTTCATTCTGAAGATGAGAGTGAGATATCTTATTCCACAGTCCACATATCAGTACTAAATCACCTACAGAAATTATGTAATATGGATTAAGAAAGAGAGGGGTTTTATTAATTGTGCATTAAAAGAAATATGGAAAAATGTGACCAAGGTATATTTTATGACAAATGTATCATATTTATTCCCGATGAAGTGGGACCGGACAAGACAGCTAAAACAACTGTTTTTGAATGATGATTCTTGAATGCAAGGAAAAATCACCACTTAGCATTAAATAGGCTTGGTCCTTATCCTCACTGCAGTTCATATTTTCCCACAAACTAAATTCTGATTATTTTCGTGTTACTACAAAATTAAACAAATGTGACCAAGACATGGACCAGCTACAAAAGCATTAAAAATCTGAAAATACTGATGTCTTCCGTAATATCTTCAGAAATATTCAGAATCATATAGCGAACAATTATATTTAAGTACGCCTTATGTACATGCAACACACCACCTTATGGAAATACGAGGTGTGCTCACTGCAGTTTTCAAGTCATGGATGTCTTGCTGCAAGGGAACAATAATTCAAATCTAAATATTCTGGCACAAAAACCTTTTCCTAACTTCTTGGGAAGCTGAACAAAAAAATCCAGAAAAATGACCGAAAAATCCAGAAAAATGATCTAAAAGTTAAAAAAGACCTAAAATGTATCATGTCATGGAAAATCTACTAATTGTTTTAAAATGTATTTTTAATCTTTATTAACACTGTGAATCAAACGTTCTTCCTCATTTTTATGTTGAAAATTAAGCAATATGTGATTGAATTTGAAGTTAAATATTTTAACACAATTTTTTCCCCCTTTTTGAAACGCTTATCAAATGTACATATATGGTATATATTCCAGTATTTAAGTGCCACCTTATTCAGAATTGCAATAGATGACAGTCAACATGCGGAGATATTCGAAGGTGAGTGAACGCTTACTGTCTGACAGCACATTCTTGTACTCTGAGAAACTCCTTTACACATCTGCAGACACAATGGGAGCATACTTGAAGTGTGCCAAATCACTAGCATTAAGTTCCTCTTCAATACTGAAAGTGCTGAAGGACTATCCTGTCAGAATTCGAGAAATGCTGCATAATGTTTCAACTGTGGTAACAGGTATTTGGGGTGCAACTGCAGGCTGCCTTTGTAGAGTCAGGAGAAAGAGAAAGAACACTTACTTGCATATTATTCACATTTCTGAAAACATACGAAGAAAAATTCCCTAAAATGGATAAAATGACAAAAATACCCTTAAAAGTCCAAAAATTTACCGAAAAATTACCCCAAATGTGGAAAAATTACCTAAAAACTTTAAAATGACAAAAAATGACACATAAACGTTACATTTCTGTAACCAGCAGCTCATCTCCGTGATTTATATATTTACGTGCATCGAATAGGATACCAGGAAAAAAAGATGACATGTCATCAAAATCTGGGCCTTGCTCATTACTGTGTTTACAACAGCCCATCACTTAACCTTATCCTGAACCTAATGAATTTGGTTCATGTTCTCTCATCCTATTTCTTGAACTAGCACCTTAACATGGCCCTCCCATGTATGCCCAAGTCCTCAACTAGTCTCTTTCCTTTTTTTACATATTTCTCATATCCCTTTTGGGCCACATGCCCTGCCCATATCATTCCTTTTAATTTCATAAATCTGATAATATTTACTTCTTTATGCAAATTCCCACCTCCCTCGCAACACTTCCACTTTCTTCAGTCTCGCTGTCCCATAAAACTGTTTAAGGCCAAGAGAATAAACAAGTTACTTATAATAATCAGGGGCATGCAGTAGCATAGTTGGTTGAGGCACTATGCTACAAGCCGGAAGGTCACAGGTTCAAGTCCTGATGAGGTCATTAGATTTCTTTCAATTGACCTAATTCTTCCAGCCGCGCTATGGCCCTGGGGTCGACTCTTAACAGAAATGAGTACCAGGAATATTCTTGGTGGTAAAGGCGTGTATTGCTTGCCGCCATCTATGAGCCAATTGTCTAGAAAATGTGGAAACCTCAACATCTCACAACCCTGCGGGCCTCCACGGCCTGTTACAGGGATACGTTTACTTTACTTACGTATAATAATCTGTGACGATAACAATGTCAGAGAACATGGATGTACCCACTCTCAATTGTAATAATTAATGGCTCAAAGGAAAGTGGACAAGATTAATATATTGGAACTCATTTGGACTGCCTTCCATGTCACACATATACAGAAAAGGAACAGAACATACAACAACATATTAAAAACAAGCATAATATTACAACACAAGTTGGAGATATGAGAAAAACATTCACATCATATTGCTACAAACAATGATCCAGTGAAAATCAGATTCTCCATGGATGTGTTATTGCGTGCATACTGTTTGCCAACAAAATATTCTGTATGTAGGGAACTTCCTATAAAGGAAACATTTTTATCTGGACACTGGCATGCAGGAAGACGATCTGTAAGAATTAAAAAGAGAAATTTGTTCTGCCTTTTGGTTTCTAATACGATCAGTTACATCTCCAATTAAAAGTTATCAATTGATATTCAACAATATAGACTGCTACAATAAACTGTACCAGCCTACAGAACTATGCAGTATTGAAAATATCGTGTTACATGCTTCACAATTCTTACGCAGTAGCTTATGAACCATCACAATGAAGGAAGTCAAACTTTGTACATCCTACGATTTTTTTTTTGTTTCTTCAACTTCACACATCACAAAAATTATCTGATACTAAGTTCCATCATCAGCGATTCATGGTCCTCATTCTGGTTTCCTGCGAATCACATCGATCATACACATACACTTCGACGATTTAAGCGCATAAAATTCTCCATGCTTGTAATCCTCAGTAATCAGAAACCAGTTCCATAAAGTACCTTACATGATAAAGGTATATGAGAAATGAAAAGTCATATCTGATAACTTAAAAAACGAATGCAGATTTGTGTCCTACATAAACGAAAAATTTTTAGTCTGTTAATAATTTCACTTCCAGAACCAAAATTACACCCAAACTTAAACATAAAAATTATTAAAGCATTCTACAGTGTAATACAGTTATGGACCTTAAATATTTCATGACGATGTAAAAGCCATCAGCCCTCAAGAATATCTAATAATTAGTTTAATAAGGTGATTTCTTGGTTACAACTTCAACAAGTAATTTATTTCTATGACAATTTAGCTACCTCTTTATTAAACCATACATACCTGACAAGCATGTGGTGTCTCGCCTGTGTGCCACATGACATGATTCATAAAGTGCTCCTTTCGTGTGAAAGACTTCTTGCATATATCGCATCGGTGAGGTGTTTCACCAGTATGTTTGCGCACGTGATTCACCATGTGTTCTTTACGAGTAAACGTTTTGGCACAGTACTGGCAACGATATGGTGTCTCACCCGTATGACAACGTGTATGGTTGTCTAAGTGTTCTTTACGTGCAAATGACTTGCCACAAACTGTGCATCCATACGGTTTGTCTGTTGCGTGCCGTTTCATGTGCCGCTCAAGACTTGCGGCATTGGCAAATACATGAAAACACACTGCACATGTGTACATGCTACCGCCAAGGTGACATTTACCGTGCCGGCTCAGCTCAGCTGCACATGTGAATGCTTTTCCACAAACCTTAAAAGGAAGGGTAATAAAGTTATTAGCTAACACAGGTAACAACACAACATACTTTTCACATATGTGAATGCATACACACTCATATCACAGCACTTGCTGGGTTATAACATGTAGTCCACTGAGGCTGGGGTCACACGAGTGCACAAAATGCGTCCGTTGTAGAAATAAATGAGAGGGGTGAATGCTACGCTTTCTTCTGGCTCCAATGCAGACAAAAAGCTATGCACCGCATTCTGCAACTGTGTGGTGTCCTCAGCAACGTCTGTCATAAAGTACGTTCATTGCAATGGACGTACTTTCTGCGCTCATGTACACGGGGCCTGAGAGTCAACTGGCATTTCAGAGGAACATGTTGCCTCCATCTTCAGGGTCAAAGAATAAGCCAAGCAAGAAACCAGTGTAAACCAGGTAGCAAGCAGAACAAGTGCCCTCCTGTTTCCTACATAAAATAAAATTTTGGCAAGCTGATTGCACTGCTTGCTGCCTGCCCCATGTTGGTTTCTTGCTTGGCTTACCCTTTGACCCTGAAGATGGGGGTGACGTGCTCCTCCAAGACAATGGTTGACTTTCAATTGACTACATCGCGTTATATCCAAGAAGTTGAAACTCTTCATAACCACAACTGTGAGAACATCAAATTCTACATATTATTAACCTACTATTAAAATATGTTGTATTTTAGCGTCCTGTTGCACTGATTCATATTCATAATGTGTATGTATTAACAGTCTTCAAGTGCATACAATCCCATCTACCACTTCTACACTACATGTTTCGGCAGTATGCTGCCATCTTCAGGTGTATCGATCCGTCAACCATTTCACTGCTTGCCTTTATATGTCCATTTACAAACAATACTAAATTTGTGTATGTCCCCACATAACAATAAAGTTCATGTATTTAAAACTTGTTAAAACTTATTGTCCTATACCTCATATTTTTAAAATTTGTGTTGACGTATAGGATAATAAGTTTTAACAAGTTTTAAATACATGAACTTTATTGTTATGTGGGGACATACACAAATTTAGTATTGTTTGTAAATGGACATATAAAGGCAAGCAGTGAAATGGTTGACGGATCGATACACCTGAAGATGGCAGCATACTGCCGAAACATGTAGTGTAGAAGTGGTAGATGGGATTGTATGCACTTGAAGATTGTTAATAATATACACATTATGACTACCATTAAACTATTTTAAATTCAAAGATCTTAGAATAAATGCATCCAAATTATGTCCCAAAACTCCAGAAACAATGAGCATTTCCAAAACGCAGTGTCATTTTCCGCCAAGACAATGTAGCATTCCACTGTCATCATGATCTGCAAAGCCCGCTGCAATCCTGGATTTAGAAGCTGATAACACAACCTCCTGAATTCAAGAACCTATCAATATATGACTATTCACTTTGTGGACGCTGGCTTGAATATGATGCCACCAACAATGCTGTCACACACAGCAGTTCTAACCATTTGGTTGACAAGCCTTGGCATCAAACTTATCACTAGAAATGTCATGAAATGTCAGATGTAACCTTCTTCATCATAACAAATTTTCCTTCAGTCACAATGAGAACTTAGGTAAGTCACCCCAAGGTTCAGTGTCAGACAACATACATGAACCTGAACATAACTGTAAATAAAGCACTTGGATAATTCGTATGTCAACTGAATTCACTCTTTATAATAATCATTACCTTATACCAAGTAATAAAGTCATCACACATAACTACACATTGAGAGACAACATACCATTAGACAAGATCTTCCAAATACCACATAATTCCAGTTCAGGTTATACATGAAGTATGAATAATGTAAACAAGTTCAAACATCCCTGTAGGTATGTGAAGTACATACCTGACAAGTGAAGGGTTTGCGCTCTGTGTGATAGCGCCGATGGACTATAAGTTGATACCGGAAAGGAAAGATCTTGCTGCATATGTCACAGATGTGAGTGCCTGGTGCTGTGATAACAGCTGTGGTAGCAGGGGATGTGGCAGTGCTTGCTGTGGCTGTATTGCTTCCTCCTGCGCCACCAACCTCACTGCAGGATGATTTGACACCTCCTGGACTCTGCAGAACTGCACCTGCAGTCACAGTTCCAGCTGCCACTGCCATTTCATTCTGCAGCTTTCCAAATACCTCATGGTACGCTAGCAACTGATTGATGTCCTCCACGTTCACCTGGAAAAACAAGGAAGAAAAATTTAAAGTGACTTTATATTACAGAATACACATTACATCATACAGCCTGTATTTTTCCCAAACTGTATTTGGCAAGTCCCTGATATGTACCTACATAATGGCTATCATGACCGATATTCATGGCTTTCCTCAGTCCTTCCATGTAAATGGGAGAACAGTATTTCAAATCAGGCCATGGCCAATCCCTTCCATATGCTTTCCAAATAGTTATTCACTAATGGTCCTACCATTCAAAGCACAATAGACCACTGTAGGTAACGGTGCAAGGGCCGAGAACGTCTATCCCGCATACATACATACATACCATTCAACACTATACAGCCTGAACTATGTAAGATTTGAGGTTTTCACAGTGGTGACTATGAAGAAAGCAGTCTTCTGGGATGTGGCACCATGTAGATGTACACTGAGAGAGTGTATTTAACAGTACTGAGAGTACTGCTAAATAAACCATAGGTAGATAATCAGGAAGAAATTGTGCCCACTGATGTCATTCCTATTCACAGCACAGAGTTGTCATTTCTCCGAAAAATACAGAGACAGCACCATAAAATGTATTTAGTTCTTCACCCCAGCACTGTTTAATGATGTCTGTAAGCAGAATATAAACTGTTGAGGTACAGTACAACACAAGGGGACAGAACAAGCCAAATAATATTGAGTCACAGGACTCAGAGGCCATATTTTGAAGAACAAATGGAAGGTCTATGTACTGACCAATTTTCATGTCCACCCAACAAAATAACTTGGGATCACGCAACCTCTGATTATGAAGACTACTGTACCCATCTGGATTATGCACAAAATGTTACTCTATACTGTGTACTCTACTATATTACGGAATGTGGCACACTAAAACAATTTGTACACATCCACATAGCCACTAGTAAATGTGTCACATGGATTTGCATAGGAACCCTGCAGTAATTTTGTGCAATGTTTTGGGTGTCAGTGTCGATCATTCCTGCCAAGTTCTTGTAACGAACGATGCAAAAACAGTGACCTTGCCACAGTAAGCTAAACATAGTGCGTGTTGCGTATCAGTGTGTGATAACTCAAGTGACGGGACGGCATCTAAACTCTTTACTGCAAAAGAGCAATGAGCATATCAAAAAGGCATGATAAGATGATAAGATGCTGCAAATCACATATATGTATTTACACTGCTTTTATCTGTTACTGAAATACAGAACAGAAGTTGGGAGAGCTTAGTTGATACGAGCTACGGACTGGACAGCCGGTGTCTGATTCCCAGCAATGGCAAGGCAGTTTTCTTTCTCCACAACATCCAGACAGGCTCTGGAGTCCACATAGCCTCCTCTTCCACTAGCATCGAATTTCTTCAGGGCACTAAAGCAGCCAGGGCATGACGCTGACCACTCACCTTCATCTAGTGCAAAGATCACGGACGGTGGAGCTATACCTCTTCTCCCTCTAACATCTTCATGTTGTGGTGCTTAATTAAGCATGGGGACAACTTCACCTTTTTGCCTCTTTCTGAACTATGAAATATCTGGTACTGGCAAAAATTATGGGAAATTTTATTATATTCTGAAATGAAAACCTATTTTATCACAACCATTCTGCACAAGCAGATCATAATTCTCATATATATAGGTTGTGAGATCTATGCTCTTTCATGCAGTGTTTAGTTTATACACCTAAACAAAATATTTATGAAGATAGAGGTTGAAGAGTTCTATCTGCTGGGATATAATGCTTTGTACTTGACTAAATGTCAACACACATTCCTCCGAAACGTCGGATGGCTTTCAACGGACTATGTGGCATTATATCCCATAAGCTGTAACTCTTCGTAAGCACTACTGCGAGATTGCCAAATCCTATGAAGATACAGCTTTTCTTCCAACGTTTGTGCAACTAAGAAATTAAGGGACTCAAAGAAATCCAGTAGCTTCACAATCGTGAATCATCATTTTATTCAGGCTTAAAGAATTAAATAAGAGTATGATACTCTTGCTTCTGCACAAGCATCTGCAGTACCTTGTACATGTTCTGAACCATCTCCACGCCCAATGTCTTAGTTAGCTCCTGGTCTCCATTTCCTGGGGTGCTGATCTTAACTATGCTGCCATCTGCAGTGCGAATGTCCATCATGTGACTCTTGATGTCTTGTACTGGGAACCTGACCCCAAAAAGTTGGATAATACCAATATAAACATTACAGTATTTATTCACATAATTTACACAATAAAAAATATCTGAAAGCTGAGAGTGTAAACTGTAAAAAGTACATAATTAATTTGCATTAAAATGGCTAAGGGGTGGTCCAATTAGCAAAAAATCCAAATTACAGTACATAATTGTATTGTTTACAGTACAATATATATATACAGTACTCTATATATATAGAGTGTCCCAGGAGGAATGGACCAAACTTCGGGAGGGTGTTCCTTATGTTAAAGTATGACGATATAACCCAAAACACCTATGTCCAAAGTTGAACGGTTACGGAGATAATGGCCAGAGAAGTGTCAAACTTTGACCGGCGTTGCACACTTGTTGATTACAAAATACATATTAAAACCGGCAGGAATATGTGGATTCTGTAATGTTAATAATGTACGTAACATCAAACTAACTTGTGAGTGACATGAAGCCATAAAATTGAAGTACAAAATACTCGCTTGCCATGTCATAATTGTCCTTAGGGTTTCCAGGCACTATACATGACACATGAATGGCAATCGCTGACGTAACGTGCTGACTGCGCGTTCTGATATAGCCAACTACGTTAGTACGGCTAGGGTGAATCACGGCACTCAAGGACAAACATAGATAAGGCCTCTCAGCTGATAGGTATAGTCCGTAGACCCGCTAGAAGACCACACTTTTCTCGGGCCATTATCTCCGTAACCGTTCAACTTTGGACATAGGTGTTTTGGGTTATATCGGCATACTTTAACATAAGGAACACCCTCCCGAAGTTTGGTCCATTCCTCCTGGGACACCCTGTATATGTTTTTTTAGTGCTATTGGGGTGGTACTAAGTCCCTTGCTTGTACTGTGGCCACTTCTGACCTATTGTACCAGCCCCAGATGATGATAGGTGAGGGTGATTGTGGAGCAACTGGTGGAATGAAGACTGGCAGGGGAAACCGAAGTACTCGGAGAAAACCTGCCCCAGCGCCACTTTGTCGACCATAGATACTGTATATGTATTTTGATACTCGCTTAAACTGACAGAAAGTGAAATTGTATCTTTAAATTCTCATTTTAGTAAAATTTTCATGCTGCATAAATAAAATGCATACATAAAAAAGAAGTGTACAGATTAGTGAGGCTTTACTGTACTAATTTTCAGAGTATAATTACATATATTGACTATTACAGTTCAATAAAATGCTACAGTACTGAAGTTTGTGCCTATGAACTCCATTAAGCAATTCCTCAATGAATACATACAAAAACTCCCACTTGATAAAATTATGAATGATCAATAATTTTTTGTGGAAAATGAGACTAAAGATTAATACATTGAAACAACACACTTTTCGTTTCCACCATGCAATTCATTCACTAACAATTATATGAAAATGACCATTGATGGAACTTCAACCAACGTATAATTACTGTGGAAAATGCACTTAAAGGGTAAAGTACTATAACCCATTTAATCTTTTTCTGCTTACTGTAAAATTTATGCATCTTTACAAACTACATCAAGGGTAAAAATTCATTATATAATCCTCTTCGCAAAATGTTTTGTCTAAATGTAACAGTGTGTAAATTACGGATGAATAAATTATGTGACTAACACAATAAAACTAGTCCAGAGACATCTGGTCCTCGATATACAATGAGTATGTTAAAAACATCCACACATTCAACAAACATGAGAACAATTCACACACATTCTAATTTATTTAGTCTTGTCTACTTTCTTGTCAATTAATGAACAATGTACTCTTTAATATTCATTTACAAGGAAAATGAAATAGTATATAATAGGTTAAATATGCTTTGTTCATAAGCTTAGGTATTTAGCTACTGCCTCCCATAATTTCTTATGGGAGAAAGTAAGATTTTGTATAAGATTTGTTCTACTTATGAAGGCGCTTTGAAACATAACCCATTCATAAGCCTAGGATCAAATGCATTTATGAAACAACTTTGAACTATTTTTCAATTTGAGCTTAATTTACTTGCACATTAAGGTAAAATTAAGTAGACTTGAAAGGATTCTGACGATGGTGTATACTGTACTTCTTTTGGTTTATTATCCATCGTCTGGTATGTAAAAGACAAAAGACCACGACGTTTCGGAGACTGGATCTGTCTCCTTCTTC